GACATTTTGAGCTGGAATTATGTAATTCGAATTTTGTATATGAGTCACATAAATGCAGAATTATCATGTTGCTCCATAAAATCCTGTAGGTTCAGTGAAATGTCGCTGAGCGCTAGCCAAGTCATCCGGCAGTTGGGTCACTGGTTATTGAACAGATCATCGATCACTGTCAAGGTCAAGGACAATCAACCGTAAGCCATGAACTGGCCCATTCGGCAGTGGTCTTACTTCTGCTTGTATCTACTTTAACATATATATTCCTATAATAACATCTTTTTTGTTGTACAGTATTCAGAGCATCAATAGTCCCTTAATACGTCGACGTGGCAATCCACGTAAGGTGCAAACCGTGAGGTGTGACTTCGACGTTAGTTGGTTCGTCAAACCATCCCCGTCTAACTCTAGTAGGCCCCCAGTCATAAGACATAAATCTTCTACGTTGGTGATCTACAATTCCAATGTACTGTCATGTCAGAAAGTGACAAACACAAAGATTTCACAAGGGGGTTTTTTGTGGAGATTTAGTAATCTTATAGTTAAGATCATGATTCAATTGAAGCCAGACCACCATCGAAAACCTGGAAGCACTGAACGACCGTTTCGCCCTATTATGGGACTCCTCAGCAGTGCGCATCCACGAACCCGCTCTCGCGAGATTCGAACCCAGGACCTAAGAGTCTCGAGCCAGAGCCCTTAACCGATAGACCACTGAGCCGGCATCCAACGGTATTAATGTCTAACCTCAACCAATCCACGAAATTGCTCAACCAACTTCCAATGTACTGGGGTAGATACCAAGATTTCATCAAGAACAATTATCAGATGCAGAATAATTGAAAACTAGATATATATTTCCTCCAAATATGAGTTTCCGGAGACATGGATAGGCAAGAACCAACATAAAACTAAATTCAAGGCCTTCAAATTCCCAAATAAATATTATAGCATTAAACAACTAAGGCAGGTCAACTAGTTCATTTTTTACCTTCAGTATATCCATGATGCAGTATGTGGAGAATCGTGCAGTGTATCGATTGCTCTTTAATAATTCTGGATTACTACGTCATGATGTGATTTTTATCAAAAAGTATTTGGCACTGAATCATCAATCCATCAGTTCGATTGTGTCATAGTACTCATGACACTCGAAACACTCCGAATAGAACCGTACGTAAGGTGATTGTTATCCACCAATAAGGGGTTTCAAAACCGAGAAAAGAGATAAATAATGCTCGCTACTAATTAAACTGACTACAGTTCGTGATTAAAATTATTCTTTAAACATTGGATTAATCAAATGGTTCACTTCTTTAGAAAGTAAGTGGTGACGAAACACCCCAGAACAACGAAATCGCCTAACTCAAAAAAACAACGTTATCAAACTAATTCACCTGAATTTTAAATCTTCTCCTTATAGTTAAGTGTAGTAAATGTTCTTTTTTAGACTGAAAAGTTACTTTGATTTTTAAGAACGGTATTATTTGGACAATAGGTGTATGTTGTAAGTTACTTATGTTTCCAAATATAAGTAGTATGTAACACCAGTCAGAAGTAGGATGTCTGCGGGCAGAAGGTTCAGAAAATCGAATTGAAGAGAAGAGAGAACAAAACTGAAAGCAATCGAGATAACAACTGGAATGAAGGAACAGTAAAGCTTGTTATATGCAATTTTAAGGAGATGATGTAATTGATGTATTGTTATCATATTTTACCAAATAAGTGCATGATTGTGCTTTTAACAATAAATTGATCTTCCCAACTTGACTTCCTCAGTCACAACAAGTGTATTATATTTTCTTTAAAATGTAAGTTGATCCAAGCACAATCTTGAAGAAACTTGAAGTGAAAATTGATTCGATTAATAATTTAGTTACTTTTGTATCATTTAAAGAAAATTATTTCTCAAAGATGGATAGTGGCTAAAAATGGAATTCAGCACGCACATTTCTTCCTATTTGAGACACGTAACTGTTGGATGTAACTGCATCTCACAGTTGATGTTCACTCTGGGACCCGAACTTAGTACCGTTCGCTTCAAACGTCATCGACTTGTTCACTTAGCTGAGTTTAATTTATATGATTTCAGGACTACACATTCTTCTTATTCGTATAGCAAGAGATGTGATTAAGTTTCGTTTCCGATTAATGGGAACTCAGATGTGAAAATTTGAGAGCTGGTACTGAGCTTGAGTCCCAGAGTGAAAATCAACTCTGAGATGCAGGAACATCCAGCTGACGAGTCCCAAATATGACAGAACTAACAATTATCCATCTTTGCTTATAATACTGGTGAATTAAAGCAATATCTAGGCAATACGTACAAGATACACATATATCAATAAGAGATTAATCAATTGCAGTCTATAATAACAATGGGAAGATCCAAGCAAACAATACCAAATAAATTTAAAATTATTTTCCGCCTAAATAAATTTTTCATGAATTTTAATCAATAACATTTCTTTTTTAAAAAAAAGTTTCAAACAAAATTAAATGGCTACACGCAACATTTAAATTTTGGCAAGCATGTTTTAATTTGAATAATTTACCATTTTGTCCTTGAATAAAAATAAAAAGAGAATTCAGTGAAGAAACAATTTTGTTTTACTTTTCGACGAAATCATTTACTTAAGTTATACATTAGTAATTATAGTTGTGCGGTTAATATATGTCTTTAGAAGAATAGAAAAGATTACTTGAAATCATGTGTCAATTGAAGTTAGACCACCATAGAAAACCTGGAAGCACTGGACGGCCGTTTCGTCTTATTATGGGACTCCTCAGCAATGCTCATCCACAATCCCGCAATCGCGAGATTCGAACCCACAAAACCCCTTCTCAGAGAAGATTACATCAAAAAGTGATTTGAGACCCCAATTATCAAATGAGGTTACGTAATAATCAGAAGATTAAAGAAGAATATATATGGATGAAAATAGTTAACAGGTCAGAATTATAAAAAAAAATTGTTCATAAAGAAGGATATTTGGGAAAAGGAAAGATCAGAGATCGAATGTATCGTTTACACATGCAGAGTTTCAGCTTGAATTGATGAATAACCAACACTTTAGCAGTTCATAAGTTTCTTTTTACTTTTCATGGCATTATCAGTTTGGATAAATAAAGCAAATTCTATCCAGCCTTGTACTTACCTTATAAATGACTTTTAAAGAAAAATTTGCTTTAATTGAATGATCTGTGTTCACAAGATGTTGGGTTGCTGAACTTCTTATTGAGTCGTTTCCGCTACTTTTTAGTCAAGTAGGATAATGTCCTGGAATTCTTTTGAATAAAATACGCATCGAACTACCTATATACCTGGCTCCACATGAACGAGTAAATTGATATCAGCCCATAGAATTGATCAAATCAGATAATTTATCCTTGAGATTACTGGTGAGCATTGATCGGCTGGAGAACATTATTTTTAAAGTTGCTTGGAAAAACGTTCCATTAAAAGTCAAAAATTCTGATCTTCAGGACGTCTGTAAATATATCACCTTTGAAATCGATGTTCATATAAAGTGTTTTCTAGAGGGGTTAGTTATCCTTTAGGTGGTTTGAGTTGCATAAACTTTCCATTGAATATCGAAGAATATCCGCTTTCGATAAGTATTTTCTTAAGGAGGCTCAGCTTGTTGTATATGACCTCGGGACTACACATTCTTCGTATTCGTATAGCGAGGTATGTGACTAAGTTTCTCTTCCGAATAATGGGAACACAGATGTGAAATTTTGAAAGTTGACAGGCCGTTTCGTCCTATTGTGGGACTCCTCAGCAGTGCGCATTCAAGACCTCGCCTCGAGAGACTCGAACCCAGGACCCACAATAGGAGGAAACGGCCGTCAAACAGTGCTTCCAGGTTTTCTCTGGTGGTCTAGCTTCAATTGACTCACGCTTTCAACTATGAAAATACTAAATCTCCACAAAAACCCCCTTCTGACTTTCATACTTGTTAAATATATCGATATATATTTAGACTGAGTAGCTCAATGACCAACGCGTTGAACGTTGGAAGCAAAAAACACTGAATACGAGTCTCAGTTTGAAAAACTACATCCAGGTGCATCCAGTTGGATCGTATCAAATAAGACGAAGCTCAAGTTTTTAATTTCATAATGAATTAACTGAAACTTGTGAAGTAATGCTATATCTATGCAATCTACTAAGGAAACACATATACCAACAGTGATTGGCAAGTTAAACGATCATAACTGATGTGAAGAGCCAATCAGAAGTAACCTAATGAGAAGGTCAATTGATAGCAGTTAGAAATGACCTAATGGACAAGTGCATTTCATTAATTAAGAAATGGACCAATTTCCTAAGGATTAGAGTGATATACGTAAGAATTAGTAATTGTGCATTGTATTCAGTATCCTTACAACTTTTCTTGCTCACTCTTGAGTTCTCTCTCAAGTAGTCAGTAAGGGGGGGTAGGTGGTGCGTGGCACATTGTGTATCAGTAACAGACTTTAGAAACCGCCCGTCATAACAATAACCTAGTATCTTAAATGCTTATTCTTAGTTAAATTTCCATTTGTAAAGCAATATTCAAGTTTTTATATAAAATTCTTCAATTTAATTCAGCAAACATTTCATTGACTTTAATTTACAGTCAATCGGATAGTAGTAAGAAAGTATAATAGTCTGGAATTCTATAGTTTACATCATGAACCGATTTCAGATAAGCACCCGAAATTAAGAAGTATTGAATAATGATGTCAGCCTAGTATGGTAAATTTCCAGTAGTGTTCATCCACAACCTTACCGATAGATGAACCTAGGAATATCGACTCTCAAAAAAGACATATAATTCCTCACCCTCACCCTTTCATTGGTTACCCTTCCCAATTTTCAATCGATTTGCGATATTTCTTAATCATTATCCAAAATCATTGATGGTTAAAAATCTCTACAAATCCCTTTATAATAGTGTAAAATTGAATTGCAAAAGTGCAAACAGGAAAAACAAAACCTGTCATTTAAAACTACTTACCTCTCTAATATCGATTCGATTATCATTGTTCGTATCGATTACTTTTAACAACTCGTTGACTAATTCACGAGTATCATCCTCTGATAGTTGCTGTTAAGAACAGACAAAAGTAGAAAAGAACAATATGAGAGAGACTTAAAATTGCATTTTAGCTTAATCAGTAAACCATGTGTGCTTACTAAGCAAAGATGGATAGTAGCTAGCAGTGGAATCCAGGACGCGCGTTTTGTCCTATTTGGGACTCGTCAGCCAGATGTACCTGCATCTCAGAGTTGATGTTCACTCTGGGACTCGAACCCAGTACCCTCGCGTGTGAACTCCTAACTTTTAGATTATTGAGATGGCATCCGGAGGTGTTAATGTCTAACTTCAACCAATCCACAATATTGCTAAACTTTTGAGAAGTTTCATACTAGGATGAAACAACCATCCAGTGGCTCTAGGTTTTCTATGATAGTCCGATATTGATCTGTTAATAATCTCAATTGCAACTCTAACAATCTGTACAACCCTATATACCGATAATGATATACTTATTTTTCTCTTATTTTATGTCAACAAATAAAATGTCAATTAATGTTATTTATCATTTAACATTAAAATTCTCTCAATTTAAATGATAAAGATATTATGTCTATTATTTACTGTACTTGCCCCCAAATACCCTAGGACGGCCGAGAGTGGGAAGAGTACGCCCTCCCTCTCCAAATGCTCTCACATGGCCACAAGTATATAGCCTCTCACAGGGAAGTCTTACTCACTGCTTTCTCGTGGCATTACTGTTGTTTACGAAATTGATAGGACGAAAAGCGAATTTCCGGTGCTTTAACCAGGTTGGTGAACACGGCGAATCCACCTAGGAGAGATGGAAAACCCTCATTCCAAACCAATGGTACACATGGACTCCAGTATCCTGAAGGAACAAATGGCGTATGAGTCAATCGTTGGTCACCGACTACCATGGGACTGTGTCACCTCACGTTGCTCCACTGCCTTGTGGACTAGGCCTTTAGGTCAAAGGCTCCGGGTGTGACCCTCTGGGAAAACCCCCTGCTTCAGTCTGGGAACCTGAGCAGTATCACAGTCCTCACACAAATGAAATGAGATTTGTGTGGCACATATGTACCTGGTGCTTGCTTGTACAAATATTTATGTGTTTAAATAAATAAATAAATAAATAAAATTACTGTGCTCAATTAACGGTTTGTAAATGTATATGTCGAATTAAATTTATCAGACCATATCAATAATTGTTATTCTCTTCTTATAATAAAAAATTTGTTAACCATTGCTTTCACTATTGTTGCTAACGCTGCTAAGCAACATTAAACAATTTTCTATCATACTACTTATATTTTATTCACTTGACATATAGATGCATATATCTACATTAATATTACTAATACCAATGGAACTGAATTATAGAAGAGAATAGATAAGTGCAATTGACTCACTATATCATTTTTGCGTATAAAGAAAAATGTAATAACAATCATCTACGAGGATGAGTAGGCTAAAAAAAATTTAGAGGCGGTCAAACTGGAGCGTAATGACAATGTATCGTAAAAAATTGAATTGAGCCATATAGGTAGATGCAGATTACCCGATTAGAGCCCACGTGACTATCATAGCAAATAGTTGGATATATTGAGTGATATAGCTCATAATCATTGGCAATGGTAAAGATTCATTCCGTTTTAGTCTTTTCTTAAATTGTGAGTCCAGAAATCCTAAACTTTCTTCTTCTTTCTTTACTTTATTTTCTCTACTACTACTACTGCTAATAATAAAAAAGTAATAGTAATAATGCTATTGTACTGCCAATACATCCTTTACTCTACGACTTAGCTTCATAATCCATCTTTTTGTGTGGCAACTTGAACCAATGCACATATGTATCAGATACTACGTTCCATTATACTGATATATTTATCATCGTTCGCCTTACTATAAGTAACATGATATGATGGGAGCAGTTTACAGATGAAAAAGGAAACTGTTTTTGCAGATAAAGATATCATCAACAACAACATACTGTGTGAGAGAACAAACGAACTTCCATGTGAAGAGAGAAGTAGGAATAGATGTTGGAGGTGGATAGGACATACATTGTGGAAATCATCAAACTGCATCAGGAGTTAAATTGTAAGTTTTGATGGTGAATTGGAACAGGAGAGAGGAAGACCGAAGATAATACTGTATCAGGAATTGTAAACAGATATCAAATGAATGAATATCAAGTGGAAAGATGTGGAAAGGATTATTGAAGACAGAGTTGGTTGTAGAATGCTGATCGTAAGCCTATATTCCTCCACGAGATATAACAGTTATAAGTAAGGGAGTAAACATTCTACACATTTATTTTGAAGTGATATTAAAAATTATCCTTATACTAATTGTTTAATTAAAAAGAAATAAATCATTGAATAAATGAATATTAATCGAACAAACTCATCTTACATTTCTAGCATGCTTCGGTATGATACATTCGACTAGTTTCCCCATGAACATTTCAAGTTCTTCACCATCTATAAATCCATTGCCTAAAATTAAGGGAACAGCATATAAAAGTAGAACATTTTAGTGACACATAGTCCGGCTACAAAATGTTAATCTGTGAAATCCAACCAAAGATCACATGAAAATAACCGTGTTTCAGTTATCTCAAAATTAATACCACTTTCTTTACTCTGTTGTTTGATTCTTTTTCATCAGTAAAAACGATTATAATGATAAAGCTTTCAAGAACCAATAATAAGCTTATAAGTTTCACTACTTCATTAGTAAAATAATTTCAATTCCTTGATCCAGATCATGAACCGAACAACATCGGAACACTGTTGAAAACCTAAAAGCATTAGATGTTCGTTTCATCATATAATGGGACTCCTCAGGAGTGTGCTTCTACTATCCGGCACGTGAGATTCAGGCCCAGAAATTTCGATCTCATGTGTGAACGCTTAACTTCAATTTTTTAAAAAAAACACAAAAATCTTCACAACCCTATTCTGATAATTTAGATTCATTCGAATCTCTCTTCGTTGATTGAAAAGTGGTTTTTAAATTGAAAAAATATTTTCCACTTCATCACTGACTTGAACGTATGGCTTAGTTATATCGGTAAATATTATTCTTCATACCAAAGAATATCTAAATCATAATGAATATTCGAAACAATAAAATGGTTTGATTTTCATTTAATCAGTGAAATAGTACTGATAAAATACTACTATAAACATGAAAGCTACTGTTTGATAAAATTCATGTATTGAAAACTTCTAGAGGTATTTACAACACTATGAAATGATGAAACTTACATAACACGTTAGTATTGTTTGTTTGAGTATTCCCATCGATTTGTTAGGACTGCAACTGGTCAGTCTCTAATTGGCATATGTGCATACTGTGCGTATTGCCTCGATATACCTTAATTCACAAGAGAGGGTACTGGGTTCGAATCCCAGAGTGAACATCAACTCTGAGATGCAGGTACATCTGGCTGACGAGTCCCAAATAGGACGAAACGCGCGTCCTGGATTCCACTGCTAGCCACTATCCATCTCTGCTAACCATGCTTGTGAATTAAGGTATATCGAGGCAATACGCACAGTATGCACATATGCCAATTAGAGACTGACCAGTTGCAGTCCTAACAAATCGATGGGAAGATTCAAACAAACAAGACTAAGTTGAATTTAAACTTCACCCCATCGCACAAGCAAGTGGCTATCAGGACACAGTGGCCGAGTAGATAACGCGATGGCGTTTGAAGCGAGGGTACTGGGTTCGAATCCCAGAGTGAACATCAACTGCGAGATGCAGGTACATCCAGCTGACGAGTCCCAAATAGGATGAAACGCGCGTCCTGGATTACACTGCTAGCCACTATCCATCTCTGCTTACATAACACGTTCGTAAAAAAGCATTTTATTTAACATATATATTAAACATTGTAATACTATTGACCGAAATTTAACAGATTAGTTATTAGGTTATTCATATTTTCAACACTACAATCTGAAGTTCAGTATTTAAATTCAAGATACAAAATACTATGAAATAATAACATTAAAAAGTAACTTGAATGTCTTGAGTAGTGATTCAATACTATATTTGTTATCATTATAAGGTTGTGGAGATTGTTAAGTAGTTGACTTGAAGTCATGAATCAATCAATGTTAGACCACCATTGAAAATCTGGAAGCAATGGACGTACAAATCGTCCTGGTATGAGACTCCTAAGAAGTGTGCATTCATCATCCCGAACACTGGACTCAAACACATGAATTTCAGTCACGCACGCAAACGCTTAATCTCTAGACCATTTGATCGGATTGGTATCCAACGGTGTTAATGTCTGACTTCAACCAATCGACGGAATTGCATTACCGTCCGCCATTGTTTTCCGTAAGTGACAGAATTCGCACTTCTGAGGAGTCCCACACCATGATGAAACTGCCATCCAGTACTTCTAGGTTTTCGATGGTGATCTAGCTTAAATAAACTCATGATCTCAATCAAAGAATTATCGACCTATATATTTTTAGATTGTGTGCAGAATACACCTTCTGAGATTCACAATTTGTTTTCAATGTGCACTTAACCTAACTGTAAAGTAGGACACAATGGTAATTAAAGAAATTACATCTTAGAGACTACAATCGAAAAATATATGAATGAGTAAAGTGTAGAAATTGAAATTCTACGAACATTTGTCTAGATCTTAACCAGATTGCTCTTAATTCAGACAATTAACACAATTCCTACAATTTCCTGTAGAGCAAATCAAACTAGATACCATTCAATCCACAGTGTTTTGGTTGGATTCTATTTCTTTTTCTCTAGTTTAGTGTCATAAACTTTTTGCTAAACCATTTACAAACTACTGTTTAAACATCATAGACACTATTCTTTGCTTTGAATCATATTGAAATGATGGACTGATTTTGTTCTATGATAGTTTATTTGTTTTATGTACCAAGGTAATCTAGCATATTTGCTACATCTGTTCGGAGAACAAGGGGGGGGGGCGAAAACTTTTATCACAGATTGGTTTGTCTCTAACTATAACTTGATTATAAACAACTTAAAATACATCCATCTGATAGATCCTCAATAAGTCGAGATGAATTATTTTGAGTTCACAATTAGGTAGCCATTTATAGATTTCTAATTAGTTAATACATTTTTGGATTTTAGTTAAGTTTTCTGATTTCCCATTCATTAGATCAAATCAATTATTTTGGGTATATGCGATAGATTTTTGTAGATTTTCATTGAAAGCATAGTTGGGTGGTGAATTAGTAAACATAGGCAACACTTGAAATATCATATTGATTAACTGTAAAGTAAATAATAAATAAAGTTTCGATTGAGATCATGAATAAATCACTGTTAGACCACTATTGAAAACCTTGAAGAACTGTATAGCCGTTTCATTCTAGTATAGGACTCTTCAAAATTGAGCATCCAGATACTTACTGAAGACAATGGCGGACGGTAGTGCAATTCCGTCGATTGGTTGAAGTCAGACATTAACACCGTTGGATACCAATCCGATCAAATGGTCTAGAGATTAAGCGTTTGCGTGCGTGACTGAAATTCATGTGTTTGAGTCCAGTGTTCGGGATGATGAATGCACACTTCTTAGGAGTCTCATACCAGGACGATTTGTACGTCCATTGCTTCCAGATTTTCAATGGTGGTCTAACATTGATTGATTCATGACTTCGATCAAATACTTAACAATATCCACAACCCCGTACTGATGATAATTGTTGGCACAATATATTATTAATAATGGCTTTATTCAATGTTGTATTTTTGGTACAATATAGAATTCTCAGAAAAAAGTACTTCAACAAGTCTCTTTTCCTTAGTTCTAAATCGATCCTTACAATAAACCTTGAATGATCGCCATTTTAGATGTTAGCAGATCAGGAAACGATATCTGAATAATGTTCATTCTTTTTAATTTATATGGCTAGCAACCTTGATGTCTCCGAGTGTACATTTTTGTAAGTTGTACAGCGAAAGATCCTTAACTTTTGATAAACGCATTTGAATAGTTTATGCGATTAATAGACATATTAATGTCTTAAAATAAACAAACAAAACAGATAACTTGTTGAAATATCTAAATGTCAGGAACAGCTACCCAATTATTAAAGCAGGCCTTCAATATACTAGTTATCATCATTGTCTTTTACTAAAACACGGGCTTTAAAAAGTGCAAAATGCGTTGAAATTTATATTATAGTCTATGTTTTCAAAATAATTTACTGTTGCACAGAATTCATTCCAAAATCCGTTAATCGTAGATTGAGAAAAATGGTGATAAATTCTTAGAATCTGGAAATGTACAAACTTGATATATTGATCAAGTGTCAGAAGTGGTTTTGTGGAGATTTCAGTATTTTCATAGTTGAAATCATGAGTCAATTAAAGCTAGACCACTATGGAAAACCTGGAAGCACTGGATGGCCGTTTCGTTCTATTGTGGGACTCTGCAGTGAGAAGCAGTGACCAGGGGAGTTCAACCAAGTCTGTTGGAAGATATCAACTCACTTACACATTGGCGAATGGTTGCTCAACTTCGTGGATTGGTTGAAGTTAGACATTAATACCATTGGATGCCGGCCGGCTCAGTGGTCTAGTAGTTAAGCGCTCGCGCGCGAATGTGATAGGTCCTGGGTTCAAATCTCGCGGTGCACGATCGTGGATGAGCACTGCTAAGTAGTCCCACAATATCATTATTTATCTATGGATCTAGTCAATCCATCAGGACACTTGCTCATGCAACAAGCATGAATTTTAGATTTATTGATCCAAGTTATCGTGAATAGAAAGAAACAATAGTTAGAAATTACACTGTTAGTTACATTCCATCTATTCTACATACGATTTCGATACAATGGCTAAGTTGGAGCAATCTTCAAAGGATCTATGTATTGCATCTGAGAATGACTAAAATTCAGTCAAGAAGATGGACAAATAGATAACTAACATCATTACCAATAAATTACGAATTCAATAATCCTCAAGAATAATCCAATTGTAGTAACTAAGACATATTGAAAATAAGATATTTGCTTCCATTGTAAATCAATCAAATCTATTTTATAAACAAGATATTCATTGTTTTATACACAATTAAAACATGATTATTCATTTGACAAAGTTTGATCAAACAGTTTCTTTACAATTTGTTATAACTTGTGGCATTGTGTCCTTATCAGTATGTGACGTAACAGTACCGTCAATTAGAAAACTGTTACTTATTGACCAGACCAATGACGCATAAACCTGTACGAGCAGTCTAGAGTCTTTATCAGTCCTTCTTCATGCCTAGCTTCCAGATCTCAGCCTCTGCTATATGAATCATGTATTTCAAATATACCTGGTTTACATACAAACTAAACAGACCACGTCACACCATAAAAAAGGAAATAACATTTGTACAAGATCTAACCAAATGTGGCTGTGAATGTGGAAGATCGTAATTAATAGACTGTACATAACTCGTGAACGTAAAATCGTATAA